CAAATTTTCATTTGACTTCTAAATGTGTTATATATATTGCCATAAGTAGATATTCATAGATGGCTAATCTTCCCAAATCGTTGAAACTATGTCTATATGATCACATGATCACTAACAAATTAGTATATTTACTATTTAATAGTGTTAAACCAATCCTTTTCTTACAATTCTCTTCTTCATCTTCCAATAAGAGAGAGCGAGAGAGAGAAGAACAAGGAAAAAAATGGCTAATCTTGGTCTAATAAGCACTCTAATCACAGTTTTTATTTGTTTACTTCCAAGCATCATCAAATCTTCAGAGATTACTAAAGTCGTTTTACCTAAATCCCTAAACCTCACTCTCCTTACCGATCCTTCCACCATCTCCGCCGCCTCTCACGATTTCGGAAACATCACCACCGTGACTCCCGGCGGCGTTCTCTGCCCTTCCTCCCCCGCCGAGATATCCCGTCTCCTCCACTACGCCGCGACCGGAGAAAGGATGTTCCAAGTGGCGGCTCGCGGCCAAGGCCACTCCTTAAACGGACAAGCCTCCGTCTCAGGCGGAGTAATCATCAACATGACGTGTCTCTCCGGCGTGGTGGTTTCAGAAGACAAGAAGTATGCTGACGTGGCGGCGGGGACGTTATGGGTGGATGTGCTGAAGGAGACGGCGGAGAAAGGTGTTTCGCCGGTTTCTTGGACGGATTATTTGCATGTCAGCGTCGGAGGAACGCTCTCAAACGCTGGAATCGGCGGTCAAGTGTTTAGAAACGGTCCTCAAATTAGTAACGTCCTTGAGTTGGACGTTATAACTGGTACGCTAACGCGGAAAAACAAATGCAATCTATATATTATATATTTTTATAAGCTTTTTTCTGGTGTCTGTGGCATCATCTTTCATGTTTTTATAGTTCTACTACACTTTTTGCACCACACGCAATGGAATCTTCGAAACGTAAAATGCGTAAACGCATCTAATAAGGTCTTTAATGACTAATACGCGTGTGTATTTGTGACTTTTCTAATGTTCATGCATGACGCATGTACACGGAAATTTGTCTTACAGAGTTTTTTTCAAGTAAAAACAGTAATAACAATTCTTTCACAGTTTCACCTAAAAAAAATGCTTAATTATTATTTCGGATTTTTTAATATATTTCAGGAAAAGGTGAAATGTTAGTATGTTCCCGACGGTTAAACCGAGAATTGTTCTATGGAGTTTTAGGAGGTTTGGGTCAATTTGGAATAATAACAAGGGCTAGAGTTTTTTTGAACCATGCACCTAAAAGGGTACGTATCATCAAATCTCACCTTTTGTTTTTTTTGTCTATTAAAATCGATGCATTTCCTTTCATGGCTCGCTGACCTGTTTTTTTAATGTAATTAATTTTGATATATATTTGACTAGTCTTAGTGAATTAATTGTAAGTTTTGAAAATTTTTATATTAATTACGATAACTTATTAGATAATTAGTTTGGTACGAATTTGGAAATTAGTCAAAGGCTTAATTTGAATTAATTTGAACAAAATCTATGCGTTGAATGAAAAAAATGATATGGCATATATTTTTACTATAATTTATAATCCTAGGACTTGTTATAGTCCAATCTTGTCGTATGCTTGCAAATCTATCTGATGTCAAGAGTATTCTAGTCTATGAATTTAATTGGTAAGTTGGTTGACTAGCTGAAACTTGAAACTCTTGCAACTACGGTAAACACAATAATTGGTTCTCAGTTTCAATTGTTCTTTTAAAATATGATAATTATTGGGTCAAATTATAAAATTTATTATTATTTTATTTTGTTTATTTTAAAACTTTATTTATAGTTGATATATTGTTAATATGATTATAGTTTTTATCAAACAAAATATAATTTTAAATATCATAACACATTTTTTCAAGTTGTCTATATATATATATATATATATATATATCTTTCTACTATACATAACAAATAAAATCAAGTATTTTACATATTTTGATAAAGTTATAAAAAATGTAGCCCTTAAAACTAGAAATAAATTTGATGGTCTAAGGCAAATGCCTTTTTTTTATACATATAAGCACGACTCTGTTGGATCATAATATGCGATGACGATCCGTTTTATGTTACACATGTTTGTATGATTTGAAGAATTATAATAGTTATACTTTATCGATCGGAAACTTTAAATAATGGTGGTATATTCACTTAAAATATGTGAAAATAAATTTAACATTTCATAAAAAAATATGTGAAAAATATTTGGTTTCTTTAGATATGTGTTATAGTCTTAATTAGAAGGCAAATTTTGACATGAAATGGTGTAGGTGAAATGGTTTCGGATGCTTTACAGTGACTTCACAGCTTTTACAAACGATCAAGAACGTTTGATATCAATGGCCAATGATATTGGAATTGACTATTTAGAAGGCCAACTGATGTTGTCAAACGGCATCGTAGAGACCACTTTTTTTCCACCGTCCGATCAGTCTAAAGTCACTGATTTAGTGAAGAACCATGGTATCATATATGTTCTCGAAGTAGCCAAGTATTATGATGATCCCACACTTCCCCTCATTGGCCAGGTACTACACATTTACATATTCATTCTATACGCATACACACTATATATGGTCGTTGCTAACACGTATTATCATTTAAACCACATTAAGACACTCATCATCATTTTTCATCACCATCGTCATCATTTTGGTTAATAAGTAATTATAATTCGGGTTCATAGGATTTTAGTCTTCTAAGTGAAATATATATGGCATTTTAGTTGTTAAATTCTAACATTTGTAGGAGCTTATACGTCAGATTAGTTTCTTGACCAAAAAAATAAAAAAGGTCAGATTAGTAAATAACATGGTATGAATAATAAATCTATTAAATCAATACGAGTTGTGGCTTTCTAACAATAAGACTTGGACTTTGTTGTGTTGATGTTCAAACTTATACATCAACGCATATATATGGCCAAATTCACATATTGTTTTTGACACAACTATGGTTTTGTAACACATCATCGTTGCACCACATACACATATCGATCATCAAATAGAGGTTCATAATTCAGAGTTCAGACCAATTCTTTTTTTTTTTTTTTTGTTTTGTAGGTGATTGAAAAGTTAATTAAAACCCTAAGTTACCTGCCCGGGTTCATAACAATGCACGACGTGCCCTACTTCGATTTCTTGAACCGTGTACAAAACGAAGAGGATAAACTCAGATCTTTGGGTTTATGGGAAGTTCCTCATCCATGGCTTAACCTCTATGTCCCAAAATCTCAGATTCACGCTTTTCATAACGGTGTTATCAAAGACATTCTTCTTAAGCAGAATTCAACTTCTGGACTTGCTCTCATCTATCCCACAAACCGGAATAAGTAAGCTTTCTATTCATGTTATCTTCGAGAACAAGTAACTAAATTTGGATATTATATTGATTTTGTTGTTATTGTCAGATGGGACAATCGTATGTCAGCGACAATACCAAATGGAGATGTTATCTATATAGTCGGAATACTACATTCAACTAGCCCAAAAAAATTGCCAGAAGTCGAAAGCATCAACGAGAAGATAATTAGTTTTTGCAAGGAATCGGGTATAAAGATTAAGCAGTATCTAATGCATTACACCAGGAAAGAAGATTGGATTCAGCATTTTGGATCGAAATGGAGTGACTTCTCGAAGAGGAAAGATTTGTTTGATCCCAAAAAATTGTTATCTCCAGGACAAGATATTTTTGACTAATTTAAGTGTAACCGGGATAAGTAAAAATTAAAAATTAAAACATCAAATTAACCAAAATTAGTACAGAATTATAAAGTTGCGTAGGAGACTACAGCCAAACCCAGCTGGTGAAGCCCACGTTTCTGAGGTCCAGAGCCACTTGATCACCAAATAGCTCTTTGGTTCATCACCATTGTTACATAGGAAAGTATGTGGTCCTGAACCTTGGGGGTGATGCAACCAAACTCATTGCAGATACAAGAAACGTTGTGACCCTTCACTTGTCTTCTGATTATCATGACGAGTTAGTTTGATAATTCGTTTGTTAAATCACATCCAAATACAAATGCAAGATCTCATTTATGTTTACATCATAGCTAAAACGTCTGATGTAGACGACTCTCATTCTACTTTTAGACCAAACTCCAATGTAGGATGTTTGAGGGTTCTTCTGTGGGCCTAAAGGTTTTTTTTTTGCAATTTTGAAAAAATTTGGGTTCAATATTCTCGAGGACCGTCTCTTGCAGAGGAGACTGAAGAGTCCGTCTCATGGGAGGATGGTCGGCGACATGGCGGTTCGTGATTAGTTGGAAGGGTAAAAAAAATTCAAAAAATAATATTATCTATTTATATAAAACTCTAAAACGGGGATCAAGATTGGAGAGATAATAATAGATGGAGTTTTTCACTATTTAAAAAATAATAATAACAGAAAAATTCAAAAAATCCAAAAAAGGTCTCAAGGTTAGAGGTGCTCTTATGGCCAACTAAAGATAAAAGATTTCATTTTATGTTATTATTTTATTATATATGGCCAGTTAATGAGTGTAAAAGGATAAAATTGGTTTTTATGAATGAAAACTATTAATTGAACCTAATGTGTGAAGAATTTCTCTAATTCTCCTGATTATAAAATTATGAACTACTTCTTTGTTCTACAATATTTGATGTTTTAAGAATTTAAATTTTATTAAAAAATAATAAATACATGTTTTAACTGATTATTTTTTGTTTTTCTTAAAATTATTTTACTATTTTTATTAAATTTATAATTGTTATTTCCACTTTTCAATACTATTTCAGAAATTTAATATTTTTATAATCAATATAAATTAAACATTTTTTTAATTTATAAATAAAATAATATAAATACTCTTAAAACATCATCTTTTGTGGAACAAGATTAAATCCTAAAACATCATTTATTTAGGAAGGAACAGAGGGAGTACAAATTTCATTTTAATGGAAAAAGAATTGATAGATAAGATTTAATCGAAAACAACAACAATGTTCTGTTCATCCTTAACATTAAAATTCCTCATAAAACTACAAAAATTTCTCAGCCACAGCAACCATTTTATATGTAAATGTGATTATCTCACACCTAAATTACATGAGGAGAGAGGGCAACCGAATCCAAACCGCATTAAACCGAGAAAGTCTACACCAAAAGTAGAATATTATACTAAACCGGAGGTCTCTGATCATGCTTCAACCACTGCGGCAGCAACAACTACAGCTGGTGATTCATCATCTGTGTTCTCAGATGAAACCAGAACTGAATCTCCTTCTTCCTCAGATTCAGATTCCTTATCTGCAGCTTCATCGACGATGAGCTTGTCTTTGAGCTTGTTCATGAGCTCTTCTTGAACCGGTTCATTCTGTCTCAGAAACTTCTTCAGAGCCTCTTTTCCATGGTAGTTCTTCCCGTTTAGATTGTAGAACGTTCCGTTTTTGGCGATGAACTTGTGTTTTATGCTCAGTTCGATTATCTCCGTGACCTTACAGATTCCTTTCCCAAACTCGAGCTCAAACTGCGCTGTTCTGAATGGCGGCGCGAGTTTGTTCTTCACAATCTTCACAGCAACTTGACTTCCCGTTGTCTGAACAAGCATACAATCTCAGGTTTCAAACACAAGCAAATGCAGTTTATAGATCATTTTTATTCATTCTCAAGATAAGTATTTGTTCAAAACTAAGGGAGGCAACCGAAAAGTTTTGATTGACCAACTAAACACACATCACAAACATAAGACAGATTGAAAAAAAGGCTGAATTTAGTAAAGGTAAGAGTTTGAAACACAAGCAAATGCAGTATATATACAATTCTCAGTCATCCTAAAGATCAGCATTTGTTCAAACTAAGGAGGCAACAGAAATTTTTTGATTGTTAAACTAAACACATCACAAACATAAGACAGAAAAAAAGGCGAATTTAGTGAAGATAAGGGCCTAAAACACAAACAGATGCATTATATATACAATTCTTAGTCATCCTCAAGATCAGTACTTGTTCAAAATAAGGAGGCAACATAAACTTTTTGACTGGCCAGTTAAACACATCAAATCATAAGAGAAAACAAAAAAGGTTCACAAGAATTGCATGTAAATAAGGTAAGCGCATAAAACACAAGAAAATGCAGTTTACATGCAATTCTTAGTCATTCTCAAGATCAGTATTTATTTGAAACTAAGGAAGAAACAGAACAGTTTTAACTGATCAATTAAACACACCACAAAAATAAGTCAGATCGTAAAAGAAGTCAAATTTGGTAAAGGGCTTGAAGTTTGGTTCGGATACTTACCTCTTCGCCTTTCTTGACAAGTCCGACTCGCCTAATATTTAGACGCATTGAAGCATAAAACTTCAAGGCATTTCCACCACAAGTAACTTCTGTCGGACCCCCGAATCCTCCAAACGTCGATAGTTTTGCTCTCACCTGAAGAAAAGATACACTCGCATAAGACTTACATTCCATAAAAGCAGGAACTTTTCTACAAATCTCAACTACCAAAGTTCCATACCTGATTTATAAAGATCAGAAGTGTTTGCGATAGCGATAAAGAGTGGCTCAATTTACGCAAAGCTTGGCTCATCAGTCTTGCTTGCATAGCCATATGAGCATCACCCATCTCGCCCTCAAGCTCTCCTTTAGGTACAAGAGCAGCCACCTGTAAAAACAAAATCACATGAAACCTGTGAGGAGAGGAATATAGAGCCCGGATCAAAATCTTCGATCCATTATTTCATCCCATATGAATCACCTTACTTACACTGTCAACAACAATAACATCAACTGAACCACTTCGGATTAAAGTGTCCACTAGACTAAGGGCCTGTTCACCACAATCAGGCTGTGAAAGAAGCAGATTTTCTGTATTTACACCGATTGCCTTAGCAAGTGACGAATCAAGAGCATGCTCAGCATCTACAAAGACACAGGTTCCTGTACGCAAGAACACTTTTTAAGAATACTCGAACCTTTCAAATATAGTATGGTTCTGTCACCAACATAGCCAAAGAGTTAATACGGAACATAACCGAAGAGTTAAAGAAACATGTAATAACCTCCTTGTTTCTGTGCTTCTGCAATTACATGAAGAGCAAGTGTTGTTTTTCCAGACGCTTCAGGACCATATATCTCCACAACACGTCCCTGTCAAATTTACAATAAGGAGAACAGTAAGTAGCTACTCAAAGCCGAGACCAATATTACAGAAACTTTAATGAGATAATATAAACTTATACAGTTCTACATGGACCTCAAGGAAAATTAAAATCCAATGAACAAAGCTACCCAAATGAACCAACCTAAATAACACCAAAAGACACATTTTGGGAGAAGAGTAATATCACTAAGAGATAATACCTTAGGAAGGCCACCGACTCCCAATGCTAAATCGAGGGCAAAAGACCCGGTAGAGTAAACCGGGACATCTTTAGGAGAAACAGCACGACCCAGCCACATGATGGACCCTTTGCCAAATGAAGTCGTGATCTGATCAATTGCTTGCTGAAGAGCAACCTCCTTTTTCGACATACCTTCCTCAGATGATCCATTTCCATCTGACTTAGATTTCTTTTTAGCTTCAAAAGAAAAACAATCGCAAAAGTTAACGGAAGAAACCAATTTCATAAGCAATTGATCAAAATCACAAGCAATAGAAAAGGGAAAGGATATGGCGTTTAGAATCTTCATCAAAATCACAAACCAGTTTCAGTAAATCTATTCAAAGATACAAAGGTAAAAGCTCTAACAAACCTTTGGCAGAAAAACCACGGAGCTGAAACGATGTGCCAACCACACCTCTACTAAATACCTGCAAAATCCATGGAATACTTCTAAAAAAAATAAACAATAATGGGCGGATTCAAGCAATAAGCAGATTTGACTACAAAGAGACAACATTTGGGATCGACAGTATCAAAGAAACAACATTTTGAATATTTTAGTTTAATCATGCACCCAAATAAGCCATGAAATCGACAGTAACAGAGTGTTTAAATTCTCAAAATACCCAAGTGAGAAACAAGATAAATACCTCAGACGAGAACAGAGAGTGTCTCAGTGAAGAAACGCTTCGGAGAATCCTCGCCATGAAAAGGCACTTAAGCTTCTATCTGCTACACTTGCCGAATTTTTTTTAAAAAATCTGCACTTTGCAACCACAGGCAAACAAAAAGATGGAAAATTTTCGAACTACCCAGAAGACAGAATCATTCGAATAAGAATTCGAACTAGAGAAGACGAGAAACTAAGAGAAAAACTGGAAAAATGAAAAGGTTTTAGGGTTTTAGGTTTTCGTTTCCCTCCTTTTTAAGACAATTTATTTCTCTTTTTCTTTTTCTGTTGTTTTGATCGATTTTTTTTTTCCAAGTCCACACGGAGGTTTTGTCCAGTGTTTTCAAATGGAAAGCACAAACCCGACGTATCGATCGGCTCAATGACTGGTTTATGTAAACCGATAAATCAAATTGTTCGGTTGAAGTAAATTTACCGACACAAACATCTCTAATTAGTCTCGACTCTTCAGGAAAGAAACCAACAAGATGATTTGGTCAAATCTTATACTTTGAGTTACGGATAGTAAAGTTTGTTGACATAGTTTCTGGTTAAAACCAAATGATTCTTAACCGGTTCTGTTCTATACCAAACAAAACCATTTGATGACGAGGAATAAATTTGAGTCAGAATTAGACCAAAACGATAAAATAATAATTGCTCAAACCGATTCATAAAGAACACATTACAACTGAAAAATCTGACACAAACCAAACCAAAGAACCAATTTTTTTAGAGCAAACCACCACCCAAAACTTTGATATAAGATCATATAACAAGGACCATGACTCTGCAAATAAAGAAAAACACAACCTCGGCTCAAAGACCCGACTCTTCTTCTTCTTCATAAATTAACGACTCTTCTTCGCCGGAGTAGAAGATTCTTCATTGCTGCTTACACTCCGGTGGCCTCTCACCTTGTTGACCTTCGGCAAGTTGACTTCTTCCAGACTTCTATTCATAAAGAAAAGAGCTCAGGTTAGCAACAGCCATGAATCATCAACAAGAAATAGATCGAAACCGAGTGATTGTTGTTAAACCTTGTGCCCAGCGGATGACTGCAACAAAACATAGAGAAACCACAAAGTCAGTTTCCGAGGTTTTAGTTTTATATATAAGGAACAGAGAGTAAACCGTTTAACCACATTGTACCTTCTTTCTGTTCTTCTTTCCTTGTTCTGCTTCTTCGTCCTCATCATCGTCCTCATCATCATCCTCGTCCTCGTCATCATCTTCCTCGTCTTCCTCGTCATCTTCTTCATCAATCTCATCATCATCGTCATCCATCTCAAGGTCATCCTCGACAGCTTCACCAGTGAACCATGACACAGCATGGGAGATGATTTTTTCTTTAATGGTTGATCTACAGAAGAAACGGTGTACAGATTCAGATGTTTAAACCCAATTGATCCAAGGTTGAAACAGTCACAAACTCAATCTAGCAATACGAAATGAAGATGAAATATAAAGGTACATACCCGATATCATAGTCATGCTCCATTTGGCCTTGGAGTTCATCAGCCTGTGCAAGATTAGATGATCAGAATAACGTTAGAGGAATGTTAAGTACTGAACCGAGAAATTACACTCCTTCTGGCGAATGTCATACCATGTCATCATCAAGATCCTCCTCGTCTTCAGGAACTTGAGGTGGACTGAAAAAGTTAAAGAAACTCTCACAGTCTTCAGTCTTAGTGATAGGCTTCGTGTTTTTGGATCCCTTCTTCGGCTTCTTTTTTAGGATCTTTTGAGTCAAACATTTTCCAGGATACCACTCAATTTCCGTCCTGGACAATAGTAAACAATCAATAAGACTTCTTCTCCTAAGGACAAAACAGCGAGTTCATGATAGAGCAAAAGGTCATACCCAATAGCCTTCTCGAGGATAGGCTCATCTTCATCAATCATGTGATAAGTCTTGGTCAAGACAGTGTTCCTGAAGTACGGGTTCTGATCAAAGAAAAACTCAAGCTTGAACCCTTTTGGTTCTTCAACCCTATTCCACTTGATATCTTTAAGATACTTGAGAGCCCCTTCATCACGCTCAGTTATCTAGAATCATGGAAAACATTTATCAAGACACCGAGATTCGTCTTTTCGTAAACAAAAAAGAAAAAAGAATATCCTAATAACAAACCTCCTCAGCGGTAATTTCATTGTTCTTCAATGCAATAAGCCAGAAATCAGGTACTCCTTTCTCTGCAGAAAAAAAAAAACAGTTTTTCATATCAGCTGAAACGGTATTTCACCATCATTGGAAACTAAGGACATAACCAGACTTTAGGGTAAGTAAATGATAACACACCTTCAGCAGCTTTATCTTCTCCTTGATCTGTTTTTGCTTCTTCCGGTGCACCTTCAACTTCAACCACACCATTCACAATCTCATAACGCTGTATGTGGAAAACCATCAATATCAGTTTACAATCATTCAACATAGAGAAGCCTTATCAAACTTTTATGAGTCTTCTTCTAATAATAGTAAGCTAAAGATCAAGGAATCAAAGGACATTTTCAAACCTTGGTGTACAAAGGCTGATATAACTTCTGATATTTAGCTTCTAGAGCTGCCCTCTCTTCGAAAAATTTTGCTTCCATTTCATTATATTGGTTCTGTAAGGTGAATTGAAAAAGGAATCAGATAATATTTACCGCACCAAAATCTCATCAGAGCACAATAGCCAGCCAAATGTCCAAGATCACAAATCAAAAGACTAGGTCCAAAATTGACTCGCCTGAATCTCCCTTAGAACCTCAACACGCTTCCTGACTGTTGGACTCAAGTTCTCAAGGATATCTGAGTGTTGTCCAGCCAAATTCTGCAACTTGTTCTGCACAAACACACAAAATCAGCAAAAAAACAGCACAACACACAGAATAGATAAAATTAAGATGCAGGAACAATCACAAACCAAAAGTCACATTGTTCTAAATCATTTGAGTCAAATCAATTCTCAAAAAGCACATATCGCTAAAAAAGTTTACAAATTTTCAAAGGGAAAATAATTTTAAATTAAGATGCAGAGACAATCATCAAACCAAAAGTCCATTGCTCTGAATCAACCTAGTCAAATCAATTCTCAAATTACACAGACCCAGAAAGAGAAACAATCCAATCGTCTTGGAGTCAAACTCACCTTAAGAGCATTTACAAGCCCCGCTCGATCCTCCTCGTTAAGAGCTACAAAGCAAAACACAAAGGGAAGCCTTTTCAATAATTCGAGAAAAAAACAAAACAAAAGAATCAGGCCTTTCTAGCCTAGAGAGATAGGATAGAATAATACCGGACGAGAGATCGCTCATATTCAAGTTGTCCTTGTCGTTGCTCATCTTCGCAAGAGAAGAATCTGGCGGAGGAAGAGGAGGAGGAAGATAAGAAAAACCTTAAAACCCTAGATTTTGGGGACAGTAGAGAGAAAAACTCAATAAATAAAAAAGCAAAAGGGGCTTTATAATTAAATGACCAGACCGAAATAACTGGGCACTTTATAAGACCCACCTACGCGGCAAATATCTTTTTTTCCGTTTCCTTCTATTTATTTTTTCTTCTTTATTTGATTAATAATTGAAAAAGTATAAGCCGTTTTGGTTCATAATGCGGTAATGCCCTAAGGCCCAAAACACAAAAGTATAGGGGAAAAAAAAATACTTACTTCAAAATGTTTTATATTGAAAATGTTATTGTTTTTGATGATGTATGATTTTTTTAGTTGACGTATTTTTCTGGGAGTAAAAAAAGTTTATGTACTGAAAATGGTGATAACATTATTATTGATATATTTTTATGGAAATTTTCCAAGTAAGATTAGTGAAAACTAGACGACAAAAAAAAAAGATTAGTGAAACTAAATGGAATTAAACCGGTAGAAAATTAATTTGGAATGGAACCTAAAATAAACCGAACAGACCGAAACAAGAACCGGATTTCCACCCGAACCGACTCGAGAAGGAAGAGAAGAGGGGCAAGAAATGACAAAAGACCACAGGCAAAGCGACACGCGCAGGTTTTCTTCTTCTTCTTCTTCCTCTTTGTCTTTTCCTTTAACTCTCCTTCTTCTTCTTCCTGAACCAAAACTCCATCGAATCTCTCTAAATTCCCCACCTAATCCGCGTTTTCGAAACAGAGGGTCTTAGAGTTTGTCGATTATCGATGGAACCTCCTCGTATCGGGAGTAAGTTCCGGCTTGGCCGGAAAATTGGGAGCGGCTCATTCGGAGAGATTTATCTTGGTTCGCTTCGAATATACTCTTTATTTTTAGCCCAAAAAAAAAAACAATTATTATTATTTTTGATTGGTGTGGTTAGCGTGTGACTAGGTCAAATTAGTTATGCTGAAATCTCTTCTTCTATTTAACACTGTCTTGTTTATTTGATCTCCCATTGGAATAACACAGTTGAAATCTCCAACTTTCAGTTTTTGATGACTAATAAGTTTAAGACTCTTGTGTTTGCAGGAACCGATGTTCAGACTAACGAAGAGGTCGCTATTAAGCTTGTAAGTGATCAAATGTTGACGTTAGAGACTCATTTTTGTACAAATGAATAGAGAGATTTTCAATTCAAAAGATGATTTTGTGTGTTGTGCAGGAAAGTGTGAAGACTGCGCATCCTCAATTGTCATATGAGTCGAGGATATATAGAGTTCTACAGGGTGGAAGTATTGATAAATCGTTCCCTGAATGTGTCTCTGTGTTTTTTTTTTTCTGAATTATTAGTTTGTTCATTTCTTTGCGTGTAAATGACGAATGCAGCTGGGATTCCAAACATGAAATGGTATGGTGTTGAAGGGGATTACAATGTTTTGGTGATGGATTTGCTTGGTCCAAGCCTTGAAGATCTCTTTAGCTATTGCAACAGGAAGTTTACCTTGAAGACGGTTCTCATGCTAGCTGATCAAATGGTAAAATATGCTTTCCGATTGATGCGTTTATGCAACTATCAATGCTGGTTTGTTCAAAAAAGGAATATTTTTTAACACCTTGATAGATTAATCGTCTCGAGTTCATCCACTCTAAGTCGTATCTTCACCGTGATATAAAGCCTGATAATTTTCTCATGGGTCTTGGAAGGCGGGCAAATCAGGTTATCTTTCTTCTTCTTCATAAACTCTCAGTTAGAGTTTTTCCTAGTCTCAGTTCTGGTTTTGGCTATTTCCCTCTCTTTCTATAGGTCTATATCATAGACTTTGGCTTGGCTAAGAAATATAGAGACAGCTCAACACACAGACATATCCCATACAGGTTCTGATATTAGAGATTCAGCATTTTCAGAAAAACTGGATGTTAGTTTCAGAGTTTTTCTAAACAGTGAGTTTCGTTATCATATGCATCTTATTATTCAGGGAGAATAAAAGTCTAACTGGGACTCCGAGGTATGCCAGCTTGAACACTCACCTAGGGATCGGTATACTCCATTGCTTTTCTTCTATAAACCCTCCTGATAATCGTGGATCTTACTCTCTCTTTTACGGGATACGTTTTCTTATTTCATTCTCTGTTTATTTGTACATTCTATACTTGATAGAGCAAAGTCGGAGGGATGATTTAGAATCACTTGGTTATATCCTCATGTACTTCCTCATGGGAAGGTAAGAGTCAATGAGTAACCGGTCTTTCTATACAGCTTTTTATCTCGCAATCTATATCTGATTCTATTTTCTTGTAGTCTCCCATGGCAGGGACTGAAAGCTGGGAACAAGAAACAGAAATACGATAAGATTAGTGAAAAGAAGGTTTCTACGTCCATCGAAGTAAGCTCTTCTCATATAATATGCACTCTCAGAGACTTATATGAGCCCATGTTCTAAGGAATTATGATGAAGCAGAGAAGGTTGGTTGTAGACAGTACTGTAACTTTGCATCAGTGTATTTTCAGGCGTTATGCAGAGGTCATCCAACAGAGTTTGCATCCTACTTTCATTACTGCCGCTCACTTAGGTTTGATGATAAACCAGACTATGCATACTTGAAGAGACTATTCCGCAACCTTTTCATTCGTGAAGGTCATTCATCTTCTCTCTCCCTCTTCCTCTCAAGTTCATACACAAGCTTCTGTTGACACCAACTGAATCCCCACTATTTTGTATTTCTCGTTCGTTTCCCAAGGTTTTCAGTTTGATTTTGTGTTTGACTGGACGGTATTGAAGTATCAGCAATCACAACCTGGAAACCCTTCACCTCGTGCCAATGTACACTCTTGATACTTTTTTCAATTTTTCATTTTTCGGGCATGATATACACAGATGAATAAAGCAAAGATTAATTGATGTTTCTTTTGTCAGGATGGTGGTGTTGGAACTAGTTCTGGATTAAACCCTGTGGCCGGAAATGCTGAGAAGCGTCCAGGTAAAGGAATTTTCTTTTCATGCTCATCATTCTTCCTTAAGCAAATGTAGACACATATGTAGTTGTGTATATACTGAGGGCAAGTTTGTCTGCAATAGATTTCCCGAATCAGAGAACAAAACCGGATTTTACCCTGAAGCAGAAGGCCAAGAACGTAAACGAATCTGCAATTGCAAAGGACACGCTGGTAAGTTTGGTCATGTTTCTTCTCTTCTAGGTACTTTCTTTTTTATCGAATCAAGACAGTTCTCGGTGATGCAATGATTTCAGCTACCTGGATCCTTACACTTGGGTCGATCAGAAGGATCATCATCAAGACGAGTTGTGGACTCGAGTAGTCGTGAACCGTTCAGTGGTGGGAGTGACAGTGCAAACTATGACTCTGCACTCAAAGGCATTGATGGCTTGCGGATCAATAACAGTGCAGGTGGTGAGACTGCAGCATCGCCACAGTCAAATGGAGACGATACTACTTCTGCTGCTCGTGTAGAACCCAAAGCAAAGCTCTCAGACTGATTCATATACATGAAAAGCTTTAAGACAAAAGCGGTATTCACTTTTGTTCCTTGCCTCAACCTTCTAGAGAGTTTATAGGTTGTCTATGATTCTTATGAAGAAAGGCTTTTTTTTTTACAATTAGAGATTTGATATCAGAGAGCGAGAGAGAGATTTATTTCTTACATATGGTTCTTCAAATATTCATTCGTCTCCTGACTCCTCCATTGTATAGAGAAAACCTTTGGAATTTCAACATCATTCTCTAAGATAACCTTTTAGCCCGATTAAGTCCTATATGTAGTTCACGGGGGGTGATTTCTTTATATAATACATTAATACTTTATTATTTATTTTTCTGAAGTATTTTACTGTTAAAGTAGGGAAAAAACAAAATCGGTGGAAAACATTAATATCTCCGAATACATAGTGGGCGGAAAAGATTAATATCTCCTAAACCAAAAGAGAAAACCCGAGGAAATTTTTTCTTCATTGTAACCTTTCATATGTCATCCAGTCATTACTCCAATCATACGGGTTCAGCAGAATAACTCTAATGATACCGTAATAACTCTAATGATACCGTATTACTGAGTATGAGCCATTTTTGTAATTTTAAAACTTTCAAAAAAAGTCTGGGCCCACTTATAAACCCCAAGTAATACTGCGTTAGAGATGTCCTTAGAGCGTGTACAGGATATCAGCCCAAGTATCAGATCCAAATTTTAAGACAAAATCCATTAAAAATAAATGAAAAATGGGTATTTTTGGTGATTCGGTCTCTTTCGGAAGAGGCTGAGACGGTATCACAGACACATGGCGCACTTGGATTCGTCGAAAAATTTGGGGACAAAATTTATTTTTTTTCACGGGCATTTTTTTTCCTTCACCCAACTCTCTTCTCTTTTTCTCTTCCCAGGCGATTTTCAGGCGGATCAAGCGGTGGATTTCTAATCTTTGAATATCCATTCCAAGCATCCATGTAATATTTCTTCTTCTCTAATTTGTTGAACTTGAAACGGTTTTGGGGATTTTAGGGTTTCAAAATTGGGGGCTCTGTTCGGATTTGTTTCGAAATTGGGGGCTCTAATTTGTTTCGAATTTGTTGAACTTATTGTCATCGATGATCTCTTATCTGCTTTGGTTGGAGTTGAAGGGAGGTATATATCATCAAGTATGTACCTTTTATGTGTTAATGCTCTCCAAATGATGAAAGCTGCGTGCTAAGAGAAGTTATAGAACAGACTGTTTTTGCATTGTTAGGATTGTATTCAAAGATATTTTGTGTCACCAAGTTATAGAACAGACTTTCTTGCAGCGTGGTTAAAGCAGTTAAGAACGTTCACGCCGTTATAGATAAAGAGATTGCAGGCGGAATAAATCCAGAAAATGTGTATATCTGTGGATTTAGCCAAGGAGGTGATCACTCTTTGCCTCTCTATAGTTACACACATTTCCATGGATTTATCTTTTTAAATTTTTTTGTTTGAATTGATTTACCTTTCAGTTTTTGTTTAAAATGATCTGAAAATCTACAGTCTGTTGATTTTCTTGCATTGTGTTCTAGCAGGGGCATTAACCTTGGCCAGCGTTCTTCTTTACCCAAAAGTTCTTGGAGGAGGTGCAGTCTTTTAGCGGATGGGTTCCATTCAATTCTTCAACCATTAATCAGTTTACCGAAGATGCTAAAAAGGTTTCATCTGTCTTTTTCTGGTTTGTATAAATGTTCCATTTATCCGTCAATGTTTCTTGGGTTTCTGAGTCTCCAGAATTTGCATATGCAGACACCGATCTTGTGGTCTCATGGCATTGATGACAAGACTTTACTATTCGAAGCTGGTCAAGCAGCTCTTCCTTTTCTTCAAGAAGCTGGTCTGACTTGTGAATTCAAGGTACTATAACAATAATAATCATATCAAATCCAACGCTCATGTTCTGATCATATAAACCAATTATTGAGAGTGTAAAATCTGAAGAGGTTCGATATATCTGCAGGCTTATCCGGATCTCGAGCACTCGATCAGTAATAAGGAGCTTCAGTATTTGGAGTCATGGATCAAACAACGGATGCAGAGTCCTTCTTCTATTCCTCAAATGCTTTAATTCAAAAATTGCGCTCACTCTAACAGTTTTTGCCTATCAACATCAAAAGAACAACACTGATAACTTCAGATCATTTATAGCCTGGTTGTGAAAACCGGCCTCGGTTTAAACGGCTTAATTTGCTTAACAAAATTAAACTTTCGATTTTTTTTTTAACAAAAATTATTATTCTTGATGAACCCTTCTCTAGAGTTCACCAATGGAATCCCAAATATAGCATAAGTTCTTCAATAAACTCAAAACAAAAAAAAAATATTATTTTATTTTGGTGACCTCCAAAAAGAAATTCACTAAAAGCATGTCCATCGGTGAACCCTTCTTAAAGAGGTTCATCAGATATTAAATTTTTTTTTTAATTTGAAAATTAAAAAAAAACATTCGCTCAATGACATTTTGCCACCTGGACGAACTTGGACGAACCTGAGGTCTTCAGGGTTATCCTGATGAACTGATCTTTCTCATATAAGCATTATTTCTTTTTTTTTTTAATCAAAACTACCTATGAACTCGAGCCGAATTCTTTTTCCAACTCCCGAATGGACATGCTCTAATGTACATGCTCTTATGTTCCCGGAGATGAACTCCTATGAAAGGGAAACAACATAAAACTGATTTTACAACACAAAAAACCAAAAACCACAAATGATCAAAACCCGAAATTGAAATATAACAAAAATTGACCTAAAAGGCTAAAACAGAAACCACCATCAGCAACTTTTGTTCACTTTTAGAAAGATATTGGCACAATCAGGCATGTGATATAGTCATAATAGATAATAGATGTATCCAAGAAACAACAAAATAAACGTACCAAAAAAGCTGGAAAATAATTACAAGAAAATGAAAAGGAGAAGCTCTTTTGACTTCATCCATCGCATAAAAAAAAGTAATTGGTGAGAAACAAATCACGTATTTGCTCTGAGAAATTGAAGCCTACTAGGAAACATAGCATTTAAAAAAAAAAAAAAGGAAAACAGAGCGTAATTCAAAACTAAGTTTTGAGACATTTCAAGATGCAACCTTGATTAAGTTTTTTTATAGGAAAAGTTTAATTTCAATTTTTATGTTATTTTAAAATATATATTTCATACTAAAAACATTTCTGGTATATTTCTCCTATGTACTAAAAATACTACATATATACGTTTTGTAGATTTTAGAACTTTATTCATTTTGTCATTGTTAGCATCTCTTGGTTTTATGCAGATTTGTGCTTGGAAGAACACCGAGATTATAAAGTTATTCCATTATTCTGTATAGGCGTATACGGAGTGAAAACCCTAATACTTTAACGTTTGAAGATTATGATGTAAGGGATTTTATTTTCATTGGTAATATGACTGATATGTTTGGTGATTTATGGAGAAAAAGAAATCGCAGTCAAACACCAACTAGTAGACGTTATTGTCGACGTTATTGTAAGATGATTAGTTACGTAACTAGTAGACGTTATTGTAAGATAATTAATGACGTAACGTTAGAACATTAGGTTAAGTAAATTGATACTATGTGATGATTTTTATTTTGACAGAAAACATCTCAAAAATAAATAAAAAATCATCAAAGCTTAATGACAAGTATTGCAATATTTTTTAAGAAAAAAACGTAAGAAATTTGTATAACATTCATGCGTAATTCTTTAACAAAATAACATACAACTAATTAAGTAGAATAAAAAACGTTCTTACAAGATAATAATCATATAACATTATAAGAACTTATATTTTTAGACACATAATATGAAACAAAAGTACTTAATTCTAAGAAATGATGACAGCATAATAATAACTTACGGATGTTTTAAATGATGATAAAATTAGTAATCACAAAAGAAACCAACACAAAATCTGTATAAAACATTCATGTCCTAATTATGTAACGTGCGGTTATTGCTTAATACCAAATTAATTTAGAGTATCAAAAATCGTATAATAATCACTCACTCATCTCATTTTTCAATCTATAAGAAATTCTCGTTACCATCGTACATATCTATTATTATTATTGTTACATAATCACTATGACAAATTAAGAAATTTGAACACACGCACACACAGCAAAAAAATAATGATAACAAGATAGAAACTAAATCGAAAAACATGTAATTGTAAACCCAACCAAAGTTTAAGTTATCTTAAGCACATTTTTAATTGAGTAATTTGCTGCATCTATCTTTGATCCACTTGAAGCTTTTCCTCAAAGAGCCTTTAAGCTTACCTTCAACAGTATAAGCTCTATAACTCACAACTCTCTTCTTCCTCTGTAAATCTGGATCCACAAAGCCCCAAGAAGACGATGAAGAAGACGAAGATCTTCCTTTCTTTGAATTCGGGTTCTCTTCGTGTATCCGGGTCGGGTAATCGGTGTAGGAAGTGCTGTAAGACCTGAGATCTTGCATACCATTACCACCGTTAACACCGAATGAACCTGGACCGTCGGATCTTTGGTCTGCTGTTCTTCCGTCACCGTACGATCTGGATCTGAAGTCTTCCATTTTTTGGACTTAGATGAAGAGCAAGAAGGAGAAGTGATGGTTTATTGGTGTTGAGGAGGTTTTGTAATAAAGGTCGATGAATAGCTTTTTGTTTTTATTTTTGTTTCTTTCTTTTACGAGAAGGAAAGAATCTTCTATTTTAATTTCTTCATATTTTAGAATAAAAAATATACTCTCTTTGTTTTAGAATAGATGATGTTTTAGAAATTTCACTCTTATTAAAAAATAATAAATATATTTTGCTTTTAATTATTTTTTATTTTTTCATTTTCTAAAATTTGTTTTTCACACATTTATTAAATGCTCTACAATCATTATAAATGAACTTTAGCTCCAGCATTTGATACTATTGGTTTGTTTATGAATAAAAATTTATTACTTCAAAATAATTAAATAAAATATGCTATTAATTAATTCTTGTAAAGTGTAATAGCATTAAATATTTCTAAAACATCATCTATTTCAGAACAAAGAAAAATTCTAAAACATTATCTATTCTGGAATAAAAGAAGTACTATTGTGAATATAATATTATTATAATAGAAGTATCGGTAAGAAACAATTGAATTAATAAATGAGAAATTAATTTTGGTTTATTAACTGAAAAGTATTGATTCTTTTAGGATTAAAATCGATTATATACATATATGATGTGATTTCTGTTAGTGATTATAAAAAATATCTTTAAAAGTGTCCAAAAGACATTAGTCAGTTGATTTACATGTATTGGTTATATAGAAAATTAGAGTAATAAAATTTCAGATAGACTTTATTTAAAACTTTATATAGTACTTTGTTAATTCAATCAATAGTAATAAAACTCGTATGTGTAAATAATACTCCATTTTGTTTTTTTTTTTTGTCAACAAATAGTACTCCACTATATACACAAATATACAAATATACAAATATTAATTTAGAGACTGCCAAGTCAACATTGAGGCACTGAGTCAGATGCAGCTGTCCCCGAGTCGGTGGAACGTAAAAATTAATTACTTAAGTTCCAACTGAATTTCTCTATTTGACCAAAATCTCCACGTGATCTTCACGTGATCCCTTTTGAACATTTCATTTTTTTTTTCCCCTTTGATACAATTTTTTTGTTTTCTGTTAAATTCCATTGATCAATTGGTTAGATGTTATAGTATTGATTACATCTACATAAGTAGACATGACGTAGAGAAGTTTGTTGAGATAAGATTATTTAATCAACTAACTTATTTTCTATTTCTCTGTTACTCTTTTAAATTTTCTTAGGTTTCTATATTTATATTTATCGCTGTCTCAACTAATCATAAATAAAACAATACATATCTCCAATATATTAAAGTGGAAGCACTATTGGACACTTGGCAGTTCTAGGATTAAAGTTGGTATTTAGCTACATTATTAATTCGTTTAATTTTAATTCTCCTAGTATCTTTATAGCCAAACAGACCGTTATTTCCTAAATCACATTTAACTGCAATAAATTTTTCAAACACGTCTTCTTCATATATTTTAAAATATTTTCGAATATTCAACATTAAATTCCTTCGTTCCTATAATTTTTAAAGATTAATATATTCCTAGAGGAAATTCCTAAACAACTAATAGCAATATTTTAAAATTCAAACGGATTAAGTAAGTTTCTATATTTTGGCATATTCTACATTGAATTCTTTGTTTTCTATATTTTCGAAACGTAATATTTTCCTAGATACATGTTTTCAAACTTTATTTATCAATAATTAAAACTTTCAACGGATTAAGTAAGTATCTATATATTTACGCATTTCTAAATTTTAAAATCTCAACCTAAATCTTCTGCAATTTCAAAACAACTAATATACATCCATATTGGTTACTCAAATTGCGGAAGATATATATTTATTCCTAAACGAAAATAAACGCGATCCTTGGATTATATTAACAAGAAGAAAATTCTAAATTTGAAATATTTAACCTAGCTCTACCATGTTCTCTCAATACCGTATATATATAGGTATACGTTTCTCCAATAGTTCATCCTCCCTCACCTTTCAATAAATTTCTGAATATCAAATTTATTTTTGCTATTATGTCTTCTTTCACCGATCTCTATTCCGTGAAGCCCTTCAAAACTCAATGGAGAGTTCACGTGAAGATATTGAAGGTCTGGAAACAATATTTGAATGGTGTAGAGACGTTGGAAATGGTTGTTGTTGATGAGAAGGTATACTATCTATGTTACTTTTGAGGTTTTGTACTAATCTATATATTTCACGACTGTTTTCATTTATTTTCATTTTTATTCAAACCTATGTATCTTTAAAATATGCATATTCTTTTATATATACACAGAATCAAACCATGCATGTAACTTTGAAGAAGGAGTTCATCAAGAAAAATGAAAATCTGTTAGAGGAAGGTGCCTCTAGAATTATCACAAATTTTCAAGTGGCTCATAACGGTAGTAAGTTCAAGACCAGCCCTCACGTTTACAAAATCTTTTTCGCATCAACTACATCTGTCAAACCGGCAGAAGAAATGGATCCAAGAATCTTAGGTTTCAAGTTTGTCAAGTTTAGTGATATTCACGAAGGCAAAATGAATCCAGATTTCTTGATAGGCAAGTTTGTTTAATTACTAAATTATTTATTTGATATATAGTTTGTTTGCGTAATTATAAAGTACTAATATGATTTCTTTTATTTTAGATGTTATTGGACAAATTGTGAGTATTGGGGATGTGGAGATCTTGAATGTTGGAAAGAGACAGACAAAGAGGCTTTCTATGGAGATCCGTGATACAGAGTTAGCATTTACCTTACTAATCTAACACTAATGCTCTATATATTGGAGATTTTTGTATATTATCCTTTTCCTCAATTTCCTTTATCGTTTTCAATGTAGAAATGTTCGACTTAATTGTGTTCTTTGGGGACAATTCGCTGAAAATCTTGAAAGTGTGGCTCAACATGCTAATGATGCTGTGATTGTTGCTGTTTTGCGGTTTGGAAAGTTAAAACTTTATCAAGGTGTTTGGAGTGTTGGCAATTGCTACAACTGTTCAATGGTTATTACTGATCCAGTCTTCCCAGAGAGTTTGGCTTTTAAAGAGAGGTAAAACTAATTATATTCATAATTTTATTTATTTATCAAGTTTTATATTCTAAATATTATGTAATCTAATTTACACAGATTGCCAAAAGATGGTTTAACCCTGACCTATACTCATCCCAAATCAGTTGACTATTGTCAATTATGTATCAGTAAGGGACAATTTCTTTCTTGCATTAGTCCTCGGAAGGACTATTAAGCGGAAATTAATTGCTGCTTTCTGAAGGTAATTAATATATTATGTCAGTTCAATTTTTTATAACATATATTTGATTCTAATATCATTATTAATTTTCAAGGTTGTCAAATGTGTTACAATGGCCACAATTATGTCTATTGACACTGAGTTTGGTTGGTATTACATGTCATGCGGAGCCTGTTCTAAAAAGGTTCTCCCTCATGATATGGATTACTTAAAAGAACTGTATCCTGAGAAAACATTTAAGAAACAATTGTGGCAGTGCAAAAAATGCAATGAGGATGTTGAGAATGTTTATCCATCGTAAGTCTGTTATTGTATTTGTGTTATAGTAAAGTTTTAACCTTTTATTAATTTTAACTTATACTATTTCAAATTATGATAGGTTTATGTTGACTTTCCGTGTCATGGATAATACTGGAGAAACTAAATTCCTCTTATTTGACCAAGAGGCAAAAGAAGTTGTAAACCAAACTGCTGCTCAGTTAACTCAGTCTGTTAATGAGGTTCATATTTATACTGCATTTGTCCATGACAGTATTTTATTTGATCTATTTAAAATTTATTAAATTCCTATTTGTTTAGATTCAGAATCCTGATGTCTTGCCCTTAGCTTTGAGCAATATTTGTGGTAAAACGTTTCTATTCAAGATTGCAATTTGAAGCTCAAATGTGGTTTTCAATAGTGACACATACAAGGTCATCAGTATAATTACACAAAGTGATGTGGTTAAGGAGTTTTCTGAAATCTCTACTCCTCAGGTACAGTTATAACATTTTGATATCACTTATTCTGTATAAACTAATTCTTTATTGCTTACCAAACATTACTTTCACATTTCATAGAGCACTCCAAGTATCAAGATAGAGGAAAAAGCTCACAATGCTCTTGATGAAAAGGTATATTTATTTATTCTGATTTATTACATTCATGTTTACTATTATAAACAAATTGCTTTCATTCTTACAGATTATTTAATATGTTATAGGTTCCTTTAATGATTATGGATGATGATGATGCTGAAATTACACCTACTTCTAAACGCAAAAGCAATGAAAAGTTGGAAGTGATTAAGGATACTGATGAGTATTCAGCTGCAAAGAAGAAGTGTAAGGATGAGAAAACTGTTCAGACTAATCAAAGTACTCTACCGCTTAAGACTGTGAAAACAGAGAAGCCATGATTTAAGAACCGAAATCAGTTATTGGAACTACTTTGTGATGCATTTATCCGTCTGTAGTATTGTTTCATTTATCGTTATTTTTTATTGAACTTTGCTTCTTCATTTAAATTTTGTAATCGGATGGTTATTTTTTAAGAATATTTTGATTTCGTTCATTACTGTTAGTATTTTGTTAATGTATGAAGTCTTTTAATAATTTTATAATTTTTCTTTGAACATTGTATGATCATCATTCAAATGATATCATCACTTATATATTAAATACTATACAAACATCATTAGCTTATAATCAAATTCTAATGTAGTCTATATTATTTATTTCTAAATGGAAATTTGATTTATTTGTAACAAATTATATATACTTATAAGAATATATACATCCAAAAATATCAATAACTACTAACCGAAAACAAAGTCATCAATTATCACGTATATGGATAATATATTAAAACTTATGTCTTTTAACAGTATTACTTACTTTACTTAACTATATTTATCCTTTTAAGTTTGGCAATTTGTAACTAAATTGATTCTTTCTCTAAATTTATTATCTATATTTATGGATTTAGATATATGAATTTTAAATGTAGAATATTTGTTCTCCTAATCATAAGGGATCACATTTAATTTGAATGTTATAACAAATAACTATTAATTCATATAAATTGATTCTTTCTCTATATTTATTATCTATAATTGTGGATTTAGATATATGAATTTAAATGTAGAATATTTGTTTTCCTATTCATAAGGGATCACCTTTAATTTGAATTTTATAACAAACAACTACTATTTATATAAATAAACTTTTCCGCTTCATCGCGTTCTTCGTGTTAACATTTACCTCTATTTGAATGTATGTTCACCTTCTTATGCAATGCATAGTTCAAAGAAAAATCGGCATGTAAACGAAAATTATGAGAACCAAACTACTAAAAAACAGAAGATCGCATCTACCAGTCAATCACAATCAGCAAAACCTATTTCTGGTGCTTTTGATATGATTTTTAGAGATTTAAGCAATTCAAATGATTTTGTGAGGAGTTCAAGTCGGATTACATCAGACATATCTACTTCATGTGAGTTTTTATTTATTTTTTGCTTTAATCTTAATTTTGTATACTTCACATTCTTTTAATAGTGTGTTGTTTTATTTATTTAATTACATAAATGAAATTCTTACAGATTTCAGCAATCCTGGTTGTTTAGGAATACAGCAAAATCAACAGTGTATGTGAACTATGTTATATTTTATAAATCGTTTTATGAATTATCTTATATATTTTATGTGTGTTCTTCACTTTTCCTTCATGTAGCATTACCAAGTTCAGAAAAAGAAAACAGGCCACCTGTAAAGAGACCTTTGCAATGCTCACCATCTTCTGAAGAAACGGGTTACCTATATATCAACTACCATTTTTAATTCTTGCTTTTACATATATTAAACAAATTTGTTAATATATTTAATGTTAACATATATATTTGTTTTCAGGCCTTAGGTTTGGTCGAATTTTATCTGAAACTCAATTGTCACGGCCTAAATTTGCAAAACGTAATACAACAATTCCTGATCTAAACCTAACAAGCAATGGTATTCATGGTACTGGTATCCAATCATCAAGTGATACTAATAGACAAGAAACCACTACCTCTAATATTACATATGCGACACCCCCATCGGTTGTTAGCAAAGCTCGAAGAATTCCTAATTCACGGAGGCTAGATTCTGGTATTCCTAAATCTGTACCTTTACAGCCAAGTAAGAATAATTTCATTAACTAATAGTATAATGAATTTATAAATTTAATCTATTTAAATTATTAACTCATTTTTTGTTTTTGAATTGTATTATCAGATAGGATCCTTACATCAATTGTTAGTAACATATCTGAATTGCAAACCTCGAATCAAACGTATGCGACGCCACCATCTGTTGGTAGTAAGTCTCGATCAAATCCTTCTTCACAACCGCTTCATTCTGATCTTCCTAAACCAGTACATATCGGTCCCAGTAAGTTTTCTGATCTGTATTAATATCTAAATTATGTATATTAATTAAAATTTAACATTTGTTTTAATTTAAAATGTATTGTTATGTGTTTTCACCAGAAAATACAAACAGGAATGCAACAAGCTCACACACTGTTGAAGGAATAGAGAAGTCATGTATCCTTATCCTATTCAAATTATAAGTTTTTTAACTTAGTTTTAAATTATATTATCGTTGAATTCATATTAGTGTTACCTTAACTCTCAATCTAAGTCATTATGTGGTGGAACTCTTCTGTTGATAAAATCATTGATACACAAAGAAAAAATCAACTATCTAAATCTTTGTTCGAGACACAGCGAAAGGCTAGACATAACAGGACACGTTTAATGAAAGGGATTAAGTTTAACGAAAGGCCTAATGGAACTGATACTATAGCAGATGATTATGATCATGAACGTAAACCTGTTATATTGGAAAATGGTTATATCTCTAACATTACACTTCTATATATCCTTTTTCAGTTAGATTCTTATCAGGACTAAATTTTTAATTATGTCGAATGTTGTATTACCTCAGGATATTATGATGATGGAGATCCGATGTATGAATGCATACACTGCAAAGCAAAGATGTGGTTTAATGAACGAATTCAGAAAAAGAAGAAGAGTGCAACATATAAATTTACTATATGTTGTTTGCAGGGTAAAGTGAAGCTACCCTTACTTAACCAACCTCCTCCATTTTTGATATATCTCTTCTCGAGTGATGATAAAATTTGTCGCCATTTTCGTGAGAATATCAGAGCTTACAACATGATGTTTTCATTTACATCTATTGGTGGAAAGATAAATTACGATGTAAACAAGGGTCGTGGTCCACCCGTATTCCAACTACATGGTGAAAATTATCACTTAATTGGTTCTTTGATTCCTAAGAGGAAAGAGAAACCAAAGTTCTGTCAGTTATATATCCATGATACAGCTAATGAGATAACTAACAGAGAGAAATCAATCAGGTATACACTTTACGCACTATTTTAATATCCATTTACATTATTTTTCTTCCTACAATATATTTAACTATGCACTTTCTACTATTTCAGCAAGAATGTCTCTAACTCGACCAAATTAAGGCCGGCAGTAATTGAATGTCTCATGAAGATGTTAAACTTTTGTAATCCAATGGTGAATGCTTTCCGTTCTTACAAAGACAGATACAATATTCAACAACCAGAAGACAACTTCAAGTTAGTTCTCATTGCTAACAGGAATAAAGATGCTAGAACACATAACATGCCAACATCAGCAAAAGTTGCAGCATTGATTCCGGGAGATTTTCAAGAAGGAATGGATTTACGAGATATTGTATTAGAGACTACACACGGAAACCTCAGAAGAATTAGTGAACTCTATGTGGGTTATCTAGCTCTTCAGTATCAATTATTATTTCCATATGGTGAGGATGGATTCACCGTTGGAATTGAAGACGGTTTTGATGACGTCAACAAACGGAAACGGAAAACTATAAGCATGCGAGAATTCTATGCTTATAGGATTCAAGATAGGTTAATGGAATCTCAGTCCGTAATTCGGTCTAAACGATTGTATCAACAGTTTCTGGTTGATGTGTTTACTATGATAGAGTCTAGCCGACTTCGATATTTCAGGAAAAATCAGAAGAAGCTTCGTTCAGACAAGTATGTGAATCTGGTTGAGGCTGAAAAGGAAGGAAACTATGATTTATCCAACAGAGGTAAGAGAATTTTGATACCTGCATCATTTACCAGTGGTTCACGCTATATGAACAATAACTATTTGGATGCAATGGCAATCTGTAAGCACTTTGGATTTCCTGATCTTTTTATAACTTTCACTTGCAATCCAAACTGGCCTGAGATAATTAGATATACAAAGAAGCGAAAGTTGAATCCTGAAGATAGACCAGATATCTTCTGTAGGATATTCAAAATTAAGCTAGACAGCCTCATGAGTGATCTCACTGAAAAGAACATTTTCGGAAAAAGTGTTTGTGGTATGTTAAATTTATATTTGTAATATTTGTATTTATACTATGATTTATATTGTTATGGTAATTCTGATTGGTTTGTTTTATATTAACAGGTATGTATACTATTGAATTCCAAAAAAGAGGACTTCCACATGCACATATTCTACTATGGATGGCTGAAAAAACAAATTGTCTACTGCTGAATCTATTGATAAGGTTATTTCTGCTGAGATTCCTGACAAAGATACTGATCCTTCATTGAATTTCAATTTAAATTATTTAAAACATCTTTTGATGCTTTATGTGATACTAGATCTACTTGGTGCTGTTGTCCACGTTGGACGACTTACAAGGATTAAGGATTACGGACTAGATTGTGATTTTCGTAGATACTATAGTCGACTACGATTTACGTTGAGAAATATCAAGTAAGTATTTGAATCGTTACCTATTTAGTTGTATGTTATTAAGATAACAATATATTTTGTTAATAAATTGTAGGAATGTTGAAATTAGTTGTGTTGCTTTTGGTAACTTGGCTGATGATTTCCAATCACAATGGTGGTCTGCCTGTGGTTCTAATATAACATGTGTATTGACAGACTGGCGTATAACTTACAACAATGGTATGTTTCTAACTATTTTATTAACATTTAATCATGATTACAATAGTTATTATGGTTTAATCAAATATTAAGTATACATAAAATATATGTTTTAGGGGCATTGACTGTTTCTGATGCAAGAGGAATGTCAAGGTTTCTTTTTGATCCCCATATTGTTGAAGTTGACAAGTTCAAAGAAAAGTAAGTACTATATAAATATTTGATATTTTACTAAATGCCAGTAATAACATATCTGTATATATCTATTTAGGTACTTCAAATCCAATAAGACCAAGAACAATGACATTGAGGTTAAAGACTAAGGATATAGTACTTAATTATGTTTGGAGGTTCAACTATTCATGTCGTTTAGCTACAAAGGTGACCAAGTGAAG